GGTCCACCACCTGCTCCTCTCCCTCCCTCCCTTCCCCCCACCCCCCCTTACCCGTGTTCCTCACTGGCAGGATCCATCCATGCTGCAGCCTGGTGCACTGAGCAGAGCCCCAGTTTGGCCTCTGGCAGTGGCACACAGCCTGCATGGCTGCTATGCATCCATAGCAGCTGGGAGCTGGGCTGGGGCCATGCCCAGGGTCTAGCCTGCAGCATGGATGGAGCATGCTGGCATGGAGCAAGGGGAAGGAGGGGAAGGGAGAGCACAGGATATGCGGGAGGGGGTAAGCAGAGGCTGGGGGCAGGAGAAAGCAGAGGTTGAGGGGGAAAGGAGGGCCTGGGACTGCGGGTGGGGGAAATTATAACAAATTTATATTTTCTATGTATAGAATCTAATTATTGGGGGGTTGTCTTGAATTCAGGGTCACCTTAAATACAGTCAGTTGCTACTGAACAATAAATGTAAACAAAATACAACAGTCCAACCCTACAGTAAAGTCCACTGGTCTTGACTTTACTGTTGGCAAGGCTGGGCTTGAAGGTATTGTTCCTAGTGTACCCAGTTGAACTAGTAAGTGCAGCAACAATACAAAGCAGAGTACTACATTATTACTGTTAACTCATAGCGTTCGTTCACATTGCTTTAGTCTGTGAGAGGTAGTCTCCTAATCATGACCCTTTGTATAGACCAGTGATTCCTAAAGGGTTTGTAGAGGCATGTTCACGTGTCACAAGAGTGACAAAAGTGTGCTGTGAGATCCTATTAGAAATAAATGCTGTCTGGCACCCTGCACCTGCCCCAGCTACTTTAGCAGTGCCTGTGGTTGCTCTTTGGAGATGGCTGCTGCTGCTGCTGCCTTCCACCACCCTTCCTCTACTCAAGGCAACCTCCACCAGTAAGTGAGCAGATGAAGAAACAGCCAGAGCTATGCTTTGCAGCCTGGCTCATCTCTTCCACTCCCCCTATGCTCCTGGGACTGGCAGGGGGGCCTATGGGGTGATCACCGGAAGCCCTTAAGTGGCACCAGCTAGATCAGAGGCAGGCAATTATTTTGGCTGGAGGGTCACCTAATGAGTTCTGGTGAGCTGTTGAGGGCCACATGGGTAGCCCCACTCCCTGACTGCCATATTGGGACTGGAAGTGCACCCTGTAGTCCCTGACCTTTGCCATCTTAAGTCCCTCCCCTTGCCACACCCCACTCTCCCCGAGGAACTACTCTTTTTGAGAGGGAAGGGTTGCCATCTTGGAACCAGAAAAAAACCAAATCATACACTAAAAGTCAAACATTTACTATAACATATTTTAATTTTATTAAAAAATATATTTGTCATGATTTGTGTTTGCATACTGTATATAGAGGGGATTGCATAGTAACTCAAAAATTAAGTCTTACTCTTCTATATAGTGTGTAAGGAGTGTGGGGTGTGTATATGGTGGGGTATGGGGTGGTATGTTTGTGGCGGGGTTTGGGGGTGTGTTAGAGGTTTGTGAGGGGATGGGACACTGCTGTCAGCCCCATGCTTCCTGCCTCCACCCAGCTGAAGCTCCCCTCCGCCCTGCCTTGCCCCCATCCCTGCCGCCTTCCTACCTGCCTGGAGCAAGCAGGATGCCAGGGAATTCAAACACGTCCCCCTGGGGCAGCTGCAGCAGTGGCAGCAGTGGCCCCACCTGGAAGCTGCTGCTGGCTGGGCCAGTCCCTTCCACCCATGAGGGTGGGAGTGAGATGCAATAGGGTATGCTGTGGGGGTATATACTCGGGCACCCAGAGGCCAGATGAAAGTGCCTGGTGAGCCGGATCTGGCCCCAGGGCCATATTTTGCCTGCCTCTGAGCTAAATCAATGATTTTTAACTTCTTTAGCCACATGACTTCCCTCCATATCACTTTTTGAATTTAGATCCATCTCAGCGATTCTCCACTGGGGTGCTGTGAAATTCAGAAAATGTGCCACCAATTTTAATCAGAAGAAAAGTGTTCCCCAGATATAAAAAGTTTGGGAATCACTGGTATAAAAGGTGATGTAAAGTGTGCAGAAAAACCTATCTGCAATATGTTAAAGATGCTGGAAAACTTGTTTCTACTCTCCAAGTTCATACTGCTAGTTACTGATTTTTGCTTTTCTCCAAGACACAGAATTGGTCAGAATTTGACCCAGTAAAATGATGTACCTGAGAGATACTGCACTAGATCCATAGATCTCTCTCACGGCTGTCAAATCAGCTTCCAGTTGTGGATGCTTGTGAAGCTCTCCGTCATAGCTAACCTGTAGAAAGAAAATATGACTAAATAATTTTGCATTCACCGATGGCAAAATAACTGTAATATGTCAAATGCAATCACTGTTTTATTCAAGTCGGAGCAGAGGCCAGAATCCAACATTCCCTGCTTTCAACAAGGACAGTGCTCACTTTCGTGGACTATAGTTAGGCTCCTCCTGCTTGCTCTCCTTCAGATCCTGTGACTCACATTCTTTTCCATACAGTGGCCTTGTGCAGGGGTTTTCAACCTTTTTGGGATAGTGTACCCCGGTGGCTGGTCAACCAGCAGGAGGGGAGTTCCAATGGTGGCAAAAGTGTCAGTAGTGGTGAAAGTGTCAGTGGTGGAAGTGCTGGTAGCAGAAGTGGTAGAGGTGCAGTGGTGGTGGAAATGGCAGCAGCACCCATTGCCAAGTACCCCCTAAGGCCTTCCCAAGTGTTCCCAGGGGTACGCATACACCCGGTTGAAAAGCCCTGGCCCAGAGAGATGGAAGATGTTCCCAGCTCTGTCTACACCATAGCCTAGTAGTTACACTGCTCTGTTGAGAATTAGATGTGGATTGAAATGTTCTCACAGTGAGGAAGGGCCTTGAACCAGATCTCCCATTTTCTGAACAAGCATCTTAATCATGAGGATACTGGGCAAAAGGTTTGGTACTCTTATACTCAACACAATGTTGTTGTTAAACAGTAGTTATCTTTGTTTAAGATTCATGGACATATGAAGAGCTGAAGTATTTTCTAGAATGGGAACTGAGCACTGTTATAATTAGAGCACTGTTATAGCAACTGATCACTGTTATAATTAGATGTCTATTAGTTGTTCTGGATCACACATGAACATGTGTAATAGCTCATATCTATCTGCCTAGAGACCTTTACAGGCCAAAATAGATGTATATAGGGAGTATAGACATCTCAGAGGTTTTATGGCTGTTCACAGGATGGATTTACATGTAGATGTTTACATTGTCATTGGTGTGTTAGGTGTAGTCTGTGACCATCTAATATATCTAGTTTCTCTAAGGCTATGAGGCACATAAGTCCCTAGTATGAATTGCAACAGGAGCATAAAAACAAAACTTGAACACATTACATATAAAAATGAGACAAAGGAGGCATAAGATGCATGAGACAAAGGGGGCAATAACTAGAAAATATCTGATACCAGATTCACCATGTTTAAACATGGAAGATGTTCCCAGCTCTGCTTATCCCATAGCCTAGTAGCTAAAGGCTGGATACAAGTGAGTAAATAGGGGCTTAAGTGGGACCTTGGCAAAATGTAGAAAAAAATTAGGAAAAAAAATAATAACCTTGCTCCAGTAGCTGTAAAAATGCATCCAAAGCCTCCATTCTGGCTAAACGCACCTAGACTTGGGTTTATGAGCATGCTCCAAAATGATCCATAATGAGCAGCTGGAGGACTGGTTTTACAGGGGATGGTGACCAAAACTCTTCAGCAATGGAGCATGCAGTCCAGAGGCGAAAGGACTCAAAGAAGCAACTTAACTCTAGGAAAAGGCCACAGAGCTACAGGACCTACAGGAAGCTACAGGGTGGCAGAAAAAGGAAATGAGGAGGGGAAAATGCAAAATACATCCCATGGAGAAATACAAATGTAGTAAGTATGGGTAATAAACAAGATAAACTGGAAACTGCAGCCTGCGAAAAGAACTACAATCTGATTGGCATCACTGAGACCTGGTGGGACAGCTATAGGACTGGAATGTGAACATCCAAGGTTGCACTCTGTTTTGCAAGTACAGAGTTGGGAGAAAAGGTGGTGGTGTTGCCTTTTATGTCAAAAACACATGCACTTGTTCCTGGATTCAGGAGGAAGAAAATGGCAAAGCATAATGCATTTGGGTGAAGATGAAAGGTGAAAGACATGGCAACGATATAATGGTGGGGATTTATTATAGCCCACCTGATCAGCAGGGACCCAGGTTTTGCATTTCTGAAGGAAAAATATGGAAAATGATAGATTTTCCCCTTTGCCAGAGGAAACCACAGATGTCTCATTTTGCTGGAGAAACCCGGGATTTTGCTGACAGAGTTCCAGCCTGCAAGAGGCTGGAAGGGAGAGGGAGGAGGGCAGTCAGGCAGAGGGCGCCATGTGCAGGTGCGCACTCATAGAATCATAGAATCATAGAAGTAGTGATGGAAGGGACCCTGTAGATCTTCAAGTCCGACCCCCTGCCTGGGCGGGAGAAAAGACTGGACTCAAATGAGCCTCATCAAGCCTCTTCTTAAAGATCCCCAGGGTAGGAGCCAGCACCACTTCCCTTGGAAGTTGGTTCCAGCTCCTAGCCGCCCTGACTGTGAAGTAGTTCTTGCGGATGTCTAATCTAAATCTACTCTCTAATAATTTGTGTCCATTCTTTCTTGTCATGCCAGGGGGCACTAGGGGAAACAGTGTCTCCCCTAAACCCTTCTGGTCCCCCATAGTGAGTTTATAGACAGTCACCAGGTCCCCCCTCAGCCTTCTCTTGTGAAGGCTGAACAGGTTTAGGTCCCGCAGTCTTTCAGTGTAGGGTCTGCCCTGTAGTCCCC